AGTTTGTTGTTGTTTTTAAATGTTACTTGCATGATAAATATATGCTTCATCTGTCCATCCATTCATCTTCCAAACACTAATTCTGGTCCACGTCAATGGGAGCTAGAGCCAAGGCAGCAAAGGGCACAAAGCTGGGGTACACCCAGGACGGGATGCCAGTCCACCGCAGGGCACAAAGCTGGGGTACACCCAGGACGGGATGCCAGTCCACCGCAGGGCACAAAGCTGGGGTACACCCAGGACGGGATGCCAGTCTATCGCAGGGCACAAGGCTGGGGTACAGCCTGGACAGGATGCCAGTCTATGGTAAATAAAGTATAAATATCTTTGGACAGTCTGTGGAAACTGAAGTAAGCAGGGAGATACTCACATGGCGTACAAAGAAAAACAATTTCCACACAGAAAGAGAGCAGAGGGCAGCCCTGGAGCAGCACCAGCCACCGAGTCACCATGCTGGCTGCAGGTATATATTGATTGTAAAAAATGTCGTGCATAATCATACCCCTCTACAGTGAAATATTCATTCACACCATGTACAGACCTCTGCCACCTGCCCCTCCTCCCCCCCCCAAAAAAAAAATCAAACAGACCAATGACTAATCTTCAAAGTTGACATACTTTGAGCGTGCCCTCTGATGGGTTGGTGCCCCATTCTGGGTAATTCCCTGCCTTGCCACTCTGCATAACACAAGCAGTTGCAGAAAATAGATGGATAGATGTTCAAAGAGAAAATATAGCATAGCGGACAGAATAAATTTCCTTAAAATGCTCTTATGAGTATGACTGTTTCGAATTAAGCAAGCTGAGTAGGGATTTAATTGTACTGCCCCTAATTTAGAGTGGTAGTTTGATTAGATAGAGACAGAAATCTGCAAGGCTTCTGGAGCCAGCATCAACAACGTGCTGTGTGTTACCAAATCCCTTCCCTTGCTGTGGATTGAGATGAGTCCCCTCCTTTCCTTCTTGACCATAGATATTATCACAATAGATTAGACCTGTTATTTGACTGGCTGCAGTGATTTTCCTGCAGCGTTTGAGGAACATAATTGGCAACAGCATACACACTGTAGATTAAGAGTGCAGTGGCATGTGTGCTGTACTGTATGTGATTTGTCACGCATTCGGTGATTAACATGTGACCTTGTGGAATTCTGCTGGATCTTACTGGCATTGATTTAACTCTCATAGTACCTATTCAGCTCATGAAAGGCAGTAGCAGCAGCATTTAAGCAGACTCAATTTTATGGTACATATAACATATACAGTATACAACACATATACACAGAGGTGGAACATTCAGGTCCAGAAAGTAAAAATCCAGACCAAGATTTTGTTTCAACCAACCAGTTGTGTATAGAGAGTCACAGTTATAGAGTACTCAGCTGGTTGGTTGGAACAAAATTTTGGTGTGGATTTTTAGTTTCTGGATCTGAACTATGCACCTCTGCATATACATGATGGGCGGCTATATATGTTACAACCATGTGCATATGACCGTAAAGTTGCTGGTTCAAATCATGGGGCAGGGAGAGTGATGCAAATGTTGTGCCCTTCAGCAATGACCTTAATCCCAATTGCCCCAGGGGATCTGCATACTAGCTGACCCTGCACTGTGACCCCCCCCCCCCCCCAAACTTATTCTCCCCTATTTATGTGCGTTTGTGTGTCTCTTGGCCTGTGTTCAAATTGTCCACTCCTGCACTCTATAGGAAGTCGGCCATTTTTTGGTGCTGTTGGAATTCTCAGTTGTAAATTTCACTGATTACATAGCGTGCTACAAAATCGGTGCAAGGCACATCAAAAGGTAGTGCACAGAAACTGTACCCTATATCATGCAACTGAGACCATCATGCATTGAGGCCTGAAACATGAGTGTCTAAATCATATTTGACAAACTATCCTCAGTGTGAACTGTAACTGATCTGTTGTTAAGTAGCTTTCTTATGAGATACTTTCACGTGAACTATAACACCAGTGGCAGGGCTTATCACTGCTTTCAAAGCACATGGTTATTTTAATGTATTTCCATTCATTTTATTTTTTATATTGCGTCTTTCACAAAAAAGTTGCCCCAAGGCATTTTACATGGGTGTATATTGGTGATTAGTATAAAATGTGTTGGTGGATACAGTACAATCAAGTATGTTGTAAATTAAGTTACATGTGCGCAGATTTGCGCTGAAGCGTTTTATTTTTATTTCCATGCTGTGTCATGTTACATTGTGAATTTATCCAAAATCACAGCATTGGTGTCCATGTTCTGGCGTGGTTTTTTTTTTAATTATTATTATTACAATAATGAACAACAAGTATAAACATTAACACAAAATACTAACTAAAAAAAAAAGTACATTTTTTAATATTGTAGTTTAATACTAGAGGTGATATTCTGGTGTTTGTTTATGTAACAGAGATAACAATCACAAATATGTAGCAGCTCGGGTGACCAGCTAATCCATGTCAGGGGGGACACTATGAGCTACTTCAGCTTTTACAAACTACTTTAAAGCTGAAAGGGTTCTGTGCTCTGCTAAAATGTTTGGTTAGTTCCTAGACTGAAAGACTCATCCAGCTGTTTCGCATTAACATTACTGACACATATGCATGATTATAGGAGACTGACCAATCAGCATACGGCAAGAACNTATAGGAGACTGACCAATCAGCATACGGCAAGAACCCAGTGCTTAAGTGAAATCCTGGTCCTTTTAATTGAAATGTATGAAATGGTAGTTTACAAATCCTGTTGTAGCTCATAGTGTCCCTCCTGACATGGATTAGGTGGTCACCCTAGTAGCAGCATAACACCCGTCTAGTGTCCAAAATGTATGAACCTCTGTCTGCCCTTATTCCCTACTTAGTGTTCTATGTAGGGAACACTTTATGGTGAGTGAGTGAGTGAGTGAGTGAATGAACAAGTGGACATTTCAAATACAACCTTAGAGCGCAAGATGAAATAGGCCAAAAGAGAATTTCCTCACATGGATGAATACAGTATCACAATTCTATTCCAAAGGTCTAGACAACATTAAGGTCCTAATTCCCCCCTGGGATTGTTCTTAAGATGGATATTTACTTTGAAAGTAGCAAAAGCATTCTTCAGTTAGATTAAAATTCTATTATGATGTCAGCATATTCTCAGATTACCACACAGAGGTTTTCATCTTTTGATTATGATTTAGATCAGGGGTCACCAACCTTTTTGAAACTGAGAGCTACTTCAGGGGTACTGAGCCATACGAAGGGCTACCAGTTTGATACCCTCTTCTTAAATAACAAATTTGCTCAGTTTAATAAACATGTTTTAAATGCTTTTTTTTCCAATTTCATTTTCAAATCTATATACAGTACATGCAAATGTGATTAAAGAAGAATAGCAACAGGATGAAATTAAATTTTAGATGCTGCTCACTGGCGAGTTGTGCTATTTTTAGAACAGGTCCGCGGGCGACTCGTGGTCCTTGGGGGCATCCTGGTGCCCGCGGGCACCATGCTGGTGACCCCTGATTTAGATTAGAGATCTTACCTCAGAATCCTGGAATGCTTGAGTTGGGCTGGAGGCGTCCTAATGGTGCCCGCAGTGAACTCTGTTACTGTTATATCACCCCGTACTTTATAACGGGATTTAAGACAGGTCTGAAAATGCCTGCAACGGTCAGACAAGCAATCAATGATGGTGTACGGCTTGGAAAGGATACCCTTTGTCAACTGAGATTTGAGGTACGGCAAAGTCACCTTTCATATTCACATTCTCTGCAGCGATACAGCGGAAGTTAAAAGACTTTAAAAGCAGAGATGTGTATGAACCAGCAAATCTATTATACCTTGCAACAAATGATATTTTTAATTTAATTACCCATTTAGCAAAAGTGCCACATCAAAGGTGTTTTGCATGACATTACCTGGCCATATTAAGTTAATTTAAGAAATCTAATTATCTAATTAAAATTTCCCTTAAGGTTTCTTTAAAAACCTAATTGTAGTCGCTAGGTTTGAGAAATCAATTTCATGCTGCAGCCTGGCTAGCAGCAGATAAGACAGTGGCTCTCTGGCCTCCCTTCATTGTTGTGCAATGGCAGCGAGCAGCATATCAGGCTGGACACATAACTATTCTGCTATTCTGCGATTAATATATTTTTATGTATATTCTATGTTAATTCCACTTTCTATTCTATTTTCTATTTATTTCCTATTTAAATTTATATTTTTAAGTTTTAAGATTTTTTGTATTAATACACTCTGCTGGGCCGATGGTATGTCAAGCAACATAATTTCGTTCTGATGTGCACTAACCGGTGTATCTTCTGAATGACAATAAAACTGGCTATTCTATTCTATTCTATTCTATTCTATTTTAGAGTATATATAATTGATTAGATTGGGAAAAGTGCATTTTCCCTTAACGGGAAGGAATATCTGTAGCCATGTCAGTGTCTGTCTGCTGGAGTTATTCCAAAACAGAGCCCTCCAAAGAAAATGCTAGTTTATGTGCAATTCCCTGAGAAACAATGGCTCATAATGTAATTTTACAGCCAGTGAGCATGAGGCAATGCTGTGCCCAAAAGGCCGGCGTTCAGCATACATGCCTGTTGCACAAGCAGTTGGAGTCATGCAATTTCCACTTAGGCTATGACTGCAGTTCACTTTCACCTCTGCACAGTGTTTATTGCAATCATGGAATTGTGTAATCACTCTAATTTCAATCAGTCAAAAACTAGTCTCTACTTTTCTAAATACTGAGAAGCCTGTGAATACTTTTTTTTTTTTTGGTTTGGATGTAATAGCTCAAACTTGCAAATGAACTGCTATTTGAGTCACACTGTGTCTAATATGCAAGGCGATTAAATGATTAACTGTCTCTCCGGATGGAATGTAACTGAATTAATTACTGCTGCTAGGATATCTGCGAAGAAAGCAGTGAAACCAACCTTTGTTTGAGATAAGCCAAGAATCTTCAGTAAAGCAAACCTCTGCCTATACATTTTAGTTGAATATAGGGATTGTATACATTAAGAAACCCAGCAACAGTCACCAGGCAAGTTAATACTGTTCATGAATTTACATTACAGTTTTGTTTGTATATGCTAGATTCAAGTCGCTTATGTACCACCCAGTAGTTCTACTCCAAAACTGAACACTTGTATGGCAAATTATTTGTACATATTTTATTTATATTAGATATAAATGGCTCCAATTCAGTAATAAAATAACAAAGCTCTGTGGTTTAATTTTTTACCTTCAGCTAGGCTTCTGGGCTCCAATTCCATTGGGTGGGTGTCACTCCTGATGGGATGGTGTACAGAGTGAAGGGCCATAGAGATGGGAGGATGGATTGGGGCATTTTTGGGAGGAGGAGAGTAACAAAGGTAGCGGAAAGGAAGAAAAACAAAAGGCAGCCATTTTGGTATAAATATTGTGGGAAAACAAACACACCCCCCCCCCCCCCCCCCGGGGGATGAGAAGAATTACACGGTGAAACATAAATATCAATGGATGGACAGACACACAATCACATGCAGACCGCCTCAGCCTTTTATCTTAGTTGTCTCGCATCACATAATTATTTTTTTGAGGGCTATAACAGAAAACACTGCACATTTCTGGGTCAGATAAATGTGACTTTTATTAATCTTAAGAATAAAGACATTGTATATGTGAACTCAGTAGCAGAATAGCTGATTGATTATCATTATTGTCTTATTTAATATTGCAGCTAATATAATTCTAATTATTTTACACTGGTTTGGTTTCTGCTATTCTTCTCTCAAATAACACACACACACACACACACACACACACATATATATATATGATGAAAAAAATTAAATGGTCTTCACTCATTGCCGTTTCATTTATACTACAAGCTAAATGGAAAATGACGTCATATACAGAATTTTTTTTCACCCGTTTTCTCTGCCGGTGTTCTGTCAAGTTGAGCTCCTTTGTCGAATTAGGCTACCGTGGTGCTAATCGATAGCCCTAACCCTAACTCTTACCCTAACCCTAACCCTAACCCTAACCCCCCACTCACTGCTTTGTGATGCTCATGAGAACATAACCTCAGAGGTTAGCGGATTGAGGTATAATACAGAACCGTGTATAGTTGCTTGTATTATTATTATTACTAGTATCGTTATTATTATTATTATTATTATTATTATGTACTGTAGTAACAAATGTACCCACAAATGTGATAAAAACCAGTTATTTTGACCTTGCGGGGATATTTTTCCAGTCCCCATCCGGGAGAAACTCAATGCTGTGTGGGTTGTGAGAGAGGGTGTGTGTGTGTTGTGTGTGTGTGTGTGTGTGTGTGTG